CTCATATTGGAGGATTCCTCATGGGTCTTGTACTCGGTTTATCGATTCTTCGTTCACCCAATTCTTTACGAATGCGAACAGGTCAATCAGATCCACCATACGCACCTGTCCCTACCAAAGCGAGCCAAGGTGATCGTGGTATCGTCAGTTTATTCAAAAATCCTTCGGGATTTTTCAAGGGCAGAAAACCAGCTTGGTGGGCTTGGTTACTTTTGAGATTAGCCGCCTTAGTCTTCGTCTTCATTGTGTTTATTTTACTTTTAAACAATTTCTATGTCTATAGAAAGACTTGCGGCTGGTGCAAATATTTGAGTTGTATTGTAAGTTTTCCCCTTATTTTGTTCGGTTGTATTCCTTTGTTGAAGTCAAGCTAATATGAGAATAGGATGTGAACAATTGGTGTAGTTTGGGCAATTTGGATTTGAAAAATACTACGACGAAGAGAAGTTTACTTGATAGTTGGGATTCAATGGCCAAGTTGTATACATAAATCGAGATGCTTTTATCAAGCTTTTGGTTATATTTTCAATGAGAGTTACGAAATGGGAGGGTGAATTATGGGGGTGCGAGTGGGAGTAGATGTTACTTTTGCATTTTCGAAGAGATAAAAAAGCGCATATTGTAATATGCATAGCGATGGAGTTGCTTTATCGGATTGGACAATATGGATTTTTTTGTTACTCTGGATGAGTTACTACCAGACTTTACATCATACGAATGTATGAGGGATGATGAGACTCGGGTTGAGGAGAGTGATCGGGTAGCTGGGACGAGGAAAAGGGAATAAACTGCATCTTACTCAAGCGTTTTGATTCAAGGTCTGAATCTGCGGGTTGAATAACGCGTATACCATGATATATTCCAATAAATTTAATTAATGATACCACTTGATGTTATTTTCCACGTTTATTTGAATGGCTTTAGTTTTTGTATTGATATGTGTCAATTACATTGAGGGTATTATGCCATACTGGTCATGTCAGCTTTTCGCCTTCATTTTTGAATTTCTCTCCTGCTCCTCATTAGCCTTTTGTATTTAGTCGTCCTCCTTGTAACGTAGAGCATGTTACTGTACGGTGCATGTTCATCATACGGATGGCTCGCGGGGTGTGTATCTTGGAAGATATGTTTAGTATAAACTCGTAGGAACAGTAGGTATTCCTGTAAAAACGGAGAGGATTTACAAGTAAGCGAGGCTCAGGTCTTGAATCTCTTGTTCCCAGTTCTAGCTTTCTGTGGTTTACGTAGGTACTGGTAGGTAGGTATATACCATTGAAGATTCTCTTGAAAGGATTCAAAAACTGTACTTACTCCACACCTTTATTAACATCACCAAACTGATCCACACCGCCTTCATTCCTCCATTTTCTAGATCATTCTGCCGTATACAAGCTAAGGCGGTGTAGCAAATATTCCGCGAAAAATATCATGTCGCAAAGACAATCTCATTTTCCATAAACAAACCTTCCAAACCATTCTACCTCGCCATCACCATCAATTCTTCTCATCATGGGTCGCAGCGACAGCAACGAACGGGTCGCCAAACCCAAGAAAGAAAAGAAAGCCAAAATCCCCAAGGATCAACGGGTTCGCAAACCTAAACTCCCCAGGGATAAAGATCCGCTGCGTACGAATAAACCTGAGGTTCCGTTGATGAATCGCTCGGTGCATGCGAAATGGGGCGCGCTTTTTCGAAAACATTTGGGGGTGCTAGAGGCGCATTGTAAGGCGTTAGATAGGGTGCAACAGGCGATGAAGGGCGAGATGAAGAATTTGAGTGAGGAGGAGAAGAGGGAGTGGGAATTGAATGAGGAGGGGCCGTGGAGGATTCTGTGTGGGCTGCTGGATAGGGGGAGGGATACGTTGGTTAGTGGGAGGAAGATGGCGCAGTTTGTGGTGAGTTTTTCTGCGGGGGAGGGGATGGGATGTGGTATGATGGGGATTTACTAATGCGATTGCGAAATAGTTACCTCCTCGTTTGATGAAAGATAGAAAGGGATTGGGAGTTTTGGGCACAAGTTACGAACCTCTTGTTCCACAACTCGATGCTCGTCTCGCGGCGGAGAAAAATGGCACTGCTACTACCAAAACCAATGAGAGTCATAACGATAGTTCTGATTCCTCTTCAGACTCATCATCCTCTTCCGATTCCGACTCCGAATCCGATGCAGCAGAAGTAGGAGGATATGAAGATGAAGATGTAGAAATGGAAGATGCACCGGTTCCAGAATCTAAAAAAGATCCCTCGACAAGTGCGCCGGTGGAGACGGAATCAAGTGCGCATTTCTTTGTGGATACAGAACCGACTCCAATCGCAGATTTGAATAAGAAAGATAAGAAAGATAAGAAGAGGAAGGCGGAGGACGCTCTTGCGGGAAGAAAATCAAAGAGAGAAAAGAAGAATGAGGAGGAGGAAAAGGAGAAGGAAAAGAAAATTGAGGAGGAAGAGGTTAATTTTCAAGCTATGGAGGCACAGTTGCAAGCGGAGGTTGAGGCGGGTATGAAGGCTCAGGAGGAAAAGGCTCAGCATGCGGAGGAGAAAAAAGAAAAAAAGAGGAAGAGAGATGGTAATGTGAAGGATAATGAGGGGAAGAAAACAAAGAAGGAGAAGAAGAGTAAGAAAGTTGAGGAGGAAGTGAAGGAGGCTGAAGAGATCGAGGTTGAGCCGGAGGTTGAGCCAGAAGTAGAGAGTAAGAAAGAGAAAAAATCAAAAAAGGACAAGAAGAGAAAAGCAGATGATGTTGCAGCAGAGGATGAACAAATCGATGGGAAGAGGAAGAGGAAATCAAAATGAGAGATTTGTAAATCGAAAAGGAAGTATACTGGTACGGCATATCTAGATGGATTTCAGCAAATCGAGAGGAGCATTTACGCATTGCATGGACGGATGGATGGAGGGAGGGAGGGAGGGGTGGATGAATAGATGTGTTACTTAATGAATTAAATCAGATTGAATACCGTCTACATGATGCATGTGACTTCTTGTAATGTAAGTTCTGAAATTGAAATTGAAATTGAGGTATGGGAATGTGTATGGTTGCTCATGTTGTCACAAGTGTGGTTGGCTTTGGTTTGCTTTAAGGTTACTTTGTTTTGATGATTTGGATTGGATTGGATTGGATTGGATTGGATTGGATTGGATTGGATTGGATTGGATTGGATTGGATGTATCATATACCATATACCTAGGTATACAATGTGTACTATGTGTAAGAGAAGCACAAGTCAGTAATCACAGCTGCGGAGCGAAATGAAATAGATGTCGAATGTGGATGGATGGATGGATGGATGGGTGGATGGGTGATGTCTAGATTGGATATGAAGATTAATATGAACTAGGAATTACTGTATGAATAATACCTTTAAGGTATGTATATATGGTGATGGTGATGATGATGATGGTGATGATGATGATGGTGATGATGATGATGATGTTGAGAGTTGAGAGTTGAGATTTGAAGTTCGAGAATTGAAGTTTGTGAACGGCGTGTTTATAGCGGTTCTCTTCTCTTCTCTTCTGTTCGCTTGTGTATGTTGATTTTGATTTTGATTTTGATTTTGATTTTGATTTTGATTTTGATTTTGATTTTGATTTTGATTTTGATTTTGATTTTGATTTTGATTTTGATTTTGATTTTGATTTTGATTTTGATGCGAGGTTGGAAGTGGAAGGGATAGATAATGGATAGGTAGAATATTCAAATGAAACATTTTGGGAGTAAGGATTACACGCGATACTAGGTAACTTCAAGATGCATTATTGCCATCTAAAGTATAACCATCCAAATATGTGATGAGACTATCTTGGATGGGTTCAACTAGAATACACGCATGCCACGGTGCGATCACGGGGATAGAGGGGTCAAGATTCACAGGGAGATGTAGTGAATAGTAGGTATATACTATATAGTAGTACTAGCGGTATCCTGTTAGATATAAAAGAGAGTGGGTAGAGTTTGTGAGGATTATACTTTCTTGTCTTGTCGAGGCTGCTGCTCGTGAGGAGAGGAGGTAGATGTGCGGAGGGGGATTTGAGGGATTAGTTGGAGAGCTGGCGATTTTTAAGTTCTTGCTGGGGAGAGGTAGAGAGGGTTGGGAGGAGATTAGTTCAGGGTGGTCTTGCTTGTTGTGGGGTAGGGGATTTGCTGTTATTGTCGCTGTTGTTATTATTATTGTTGTTGTTGTTATTATTATTATTATTGTTGTTGTTGTATTGTTGTTGTTGTTGTTGTTGTTGTTGTTGTTGTTGTTGTTGTTGTTGTTGTTGTTGTTGTTATTGTTGTTGTTGTTGTCGTCACCATTATCATCATCATCATCACTCTCTACTTCTTATAAACTTCTTAGCTCAGAAGCCTCTGCGCCCGCAGGATGGTTTCCCGCATAAACTCTCAAATTCACACCATCTCACAATCCGTTAAGATCGTAGTCACATACTGGAGGATCGAATCGGAAGCTCATTATCTGTGGACGTTGCTGAGTACACATTACACTTTGCGTTTGATTTGGAGGGGGAAAATATAGTTTATATACTTCACTGAATGCGAGATGCGGATAGGATAGGCTTGAATATCGAGGGAAAATGGGTGGAGATGAGTAGAAAACGCCTACTTAGCATCTAAATAGAGAACTCATACTTCCAGATGAGGAAATAGAGATGAGATGGTCTTTACATCAGAGAATAGTTTTAGGAACGAATATTTGTGGATTTCGGTAGGATTTTACGGGAATTGGAGAGTACTAAGGTAGTGGGAAGAGGAAAGTGGTAGGCGAAATTAGATATATAGATAAATAACAATGGTGATGTTAAAAAGATGAAGTTGAATTAGAATATTAAGGAGTCGACGATGAGAAGAATTCGCTGGCAACAATAATAGCTAACCAGTTTGTCACACGAAGGGTATCCTATTGACGATGTTATTCCTAATACCAAGCACTTCTCCGCAAGCCAATTGTGATCATGTCCAGCGCTCATGTATGCACCGTCATCATTGGTTGTTTTTCTAATCAGTTTCCCACCACTCATCCTCCAAGATCTGCTTTGCAGTCGGTCGATCGCGGGGATCCAACTTGAGAATCTTTTGCAGGAAAATATTATCAACCTTGGGAATCTCCTTCTGCGTGATCATGGGTAATGGCTTCATTTTCTCAGGTGCCACTGCTTTCATTGCTAAAACAATCGCGTTCTGTGTCCCCTCGTCTGCAATTTCACCAAATGAAATTGGAAATGGGCCTAAGTACTGGTGATGCTTCATCAGTACCCCAAAATCATACTCATCATCATCGACTTCAGCACCCCCATTTCGAGGATTGAATGGATAATGGTCGCCGTAAATAAGCATCAATATCTAGAAATTGTACGATTAGCACAAAGATTGGAAGTTTTCTAATGTCGGAAAGAAAAAGGGATGACTTACCGAACAACCGAAAGACCAAATATCAGATGATATCCCCCACGGCATACCGAGGAGAACTTCTGGACTGCGCCATGAAGATGTCCCAACTATATGGCCCTCCTTTGCCCATTTTGAATTTACGGACACCGTACCTCCAAGATCAGCAAGCTGAGCCTCAGAGAAGCGTTCATTGCCGTTCCCATGATTCACGAGGATATTATCCGGTTTCACATCTACACATATTTAGAATTCATGACTTCTATTGTAGGAAGGAACATAGATACATACCGGTATGAACGTAACCATCTTCGTGCAAAACTTGTAAAGCTTCCAACACTCTTCTGGCGACGAATTTGAGTTCAGGCTTTGTAAGTCTTTTCTTGTAAGTTTCAGTCATGAGATCATTGTCTAAATGTTTGAGAACAATAGTTAGCGGATCAAGAGGATCAAAAATCTCATCAATCAGCGGTCGAAGAGATGGTGCTCTAGATTGGAACCGTTTGAGCACATCTGCTTCATTTTGTAGTCGCCAGTGACCACGTATACTCTTAACAATGACATTTTGTTCTTTCGAATCTCTTCAAGAGATTTTGGTCAGCAGAAGTATCGAATTAGTGATTGTATAGAACATACTGTGCTAGAAAAACAAACTCATACAATTGTTTGCTGACTGTATAAGTATTAGTTTTTCCCTTCAATTTCTGGCCGATATTGAGTAGGGAAGACATCAGTCACTCAATTTCACCGATCTGACGATGTTGATAGCTTCGGAGGTGTGAGCTGACGAGATAATCAAACACAGATTGGGTCAGATTCCATGTAAACCTTGGCAATCCCTTCACTCTTCTAGGAGGTTACAGAAGGATACGAAAAGATATGTTGCACTTGCGGGCACTATATAAGAAGTTCTAGGCTAGTCGACTACATATGTTCCTCGACTAAAACAAGAGACAACGACACATAATCTCTTTTTTAAGAACGAATAGAAATCCCCAGAAACATTCACAAATGCAACGATAACAACAACAATAAAATTATCAACCAAATTCAAAAAGTCATATTCGCAAATCGATAACTAGTAGAGGTGAACATAGCAACTGTGGGGAAAAACTTGTCCATAGTTTTCACCGAAAGATAATGTCTAAGGCTTTTACTCTTAGTGCACCAGGTGCTGAGAACTTAATTAGCAAGCTGTGATTTCTCAACAGAAATTAATCACGATAGATCAGCTACTCCTATCGAAAATTCACCACTCGCAACTCATCACCCAATTCCCAATTCCCATTTCCTCATAAATACTCTCAAGAATTATGAGAGACATAAATATACCAGATCAATAACATATATACACACACCTTTACTTTCAACATCATCATAAAAGCCAATAAACTATTTCCACTCTTCTCATAGCACTCTACTACTAGCAACCTTACAATAAAATCAATAACAAGAACGACAACAATCCTCCTGAAATTTCACCACCATCCCGCCATTCCCCCTTTCAAAGCCAGAAATCAATCTCGATCTCGATTCTCCAGTAAGTAGAAGTAAGTAGAAGTAATCAACATAATCAGCACAATCAACAGCCCAACCTCTCAGACTCCCTTGACGATTTTTCGTGATGGAGTATTTTATCTTCTTTTCGAGGGTCTTTTTATTGAAACCCCCCCCCCCCCCTCGCCCCACTCTCAAAAATCAGATTCCAGACTCCACTCCCCTCCATATTTCAGTAAAAGAAAACAAGTCTCTCATTCACTTTACTCTACAACGGGATATACAATTTCCAATTTCCAATTTCCAATCTACAATCCACACAAAGACAAGAAGATAAACAGAAAGTGCGAAAGTGCGACGTGAGAAACGAAATCCCTTTCACCACCCGGAACATTCTGCACTCCAGAATCGGTCGAGTGGTGTACGTGGGAAATGGAAATGGAAATAATCCTGTGACTGCTAGCAAATCGACAGGTGAGGAGTGTGCTCAAGGTATCTGGATTGGGGAGTACAGTGTGGTGAAGATCGGATTTGCTCTCAATTTTCAGTATGGGGATTCAGGAAATGGAGAAACGGAGAAATGGAGAATTTAAAATATGGAAAGAATAGTAAAAACACGCATTTCTCACCTCCTAGGAAATCCAATACCAAACTAAAAGTCCATAAACCCAAACCCAAATCCAAATCACAGACCACAAATCAAAAGAGGAGTCAGAAAGAAAGGAAAAAGAAACAAAGAAATCCCCGCCCTCCACTGCCCACTCCCAACCCACTCGCCAATATACCATCCCATCCCATCCATCCCATCCCATCACCAACCACTCCCCGCCCCAGCCCCATTATAAACCGCCACATACCCCACCTCCATTCCACTCCCCACCCCCCCCTTCGTCAACGCATTCGGCATACCCGGATACAACCCGCCCACCGCCACATTCAGAATAACAAAATAACTTTCCCCCACCAACTTCCCCCAACTCTTGTAATCTCCCACCATCCCCCCCGTCACCGTAAAATACGCATTCCCATCCAACTCCCACGTGATACTCTGCGACTGCCAGTCGCCCACCCGCGAGATGCGGATGCCGTACGTGTGCCACTCGGAGCGATCGAACCACGCATTGGGCGATCCGATCGCGAGCGGATACGACGCCGTGCCGTAGTGAATCGTGCCCACGTTTGCAGATGCCCCGTTGACCTGCTCCATGATATCCCATTCGCCGCACTCGGGCCACATGTTGTCGCTTCGGAAGCTTTCGCCGAGAGTCCAGAAGGCGGGCCAGATACCTTGTTGATGCGTGGGATCGCTACTGCCCATTTTGATGCTGGCGGAAACGATCATTTCGGCGCCGTTGGCGCACCCCCAACTTTGTAAGGTGCTTATGCGCGCCGAAGTCCATTTTCCGGAGGAATAGAGAGGGGTGATGTAGAGGGTGGAGGAACCGGAGAGGTTAGCATTCTGTGGGGATGATGTGTAGTGTTGGATTTCATTGTTTTGGTTTGTGGCGGGGGTTTCGTATTCCCATTTTGAGGAAGAGGTGAGGGAACCTGCGGAGCCGGAAAAGGAGTCTGACCATGTTAGAGTGAAGCCTGGAATCTTGGGAGGAGCGCCAGCGTGAGTTAAAGGGAGGGAAATGGAGATGGAGAGAAGGGAGAGAGCGATGTGTGATAGGGAAGGGAATGTATGTTTCATGGTGAACTTTAGAATGATTTATCTAGTTCTCATCGATCCCGTGCTATAGAATGTAAGGTTAGGACAGAAAGAAAGGAATAAGAATGCAAAAATGAATGAATGAACGAACGAACGAACGATAAGTGGTATTGTAATGAATGTGAAAAGTAAGTAGATCCGTTGACTTGACAGAAAATAAAAGGAAAACATGTATATGGACGACAACCTGCTTTATGAAAATTATCTCTCCCCGAATAATGTCTTCAAACATTTCTTCATAATCAACGGTCTACATGAAGGTTAATTTCCAACAGAACCTATATTTTTATCCCTCTTGGCCCAGCTATTAATTCTGTCCGTTTTCACCTAACTTATCTTCTCATCTCCAATCACACCAACTTCTCAGTCCAAAGTACCAAATCCACGACCCAAATGTGGCGTAGAGGACTGTATTGAGTACGCGGCCTCTTAAATATTCCCCTGATATCTCTAAAATATCGCTTATTTGATTGATTAAACCACTCATATTTTGTTTGGTGGCCCCATAATTTGTTTGTTGGTCATTGGCAGGCTGGTAATTAGAGACTTTTGATCCTCATGGATTTTTTGTCCGCGTTTCTAGTCTTGAGTGTAAAGCTTGGGGGTTCGTACGAATATAATGTTGGCTGTGGAGATTTTGGTTTAAGCGCTCTGCGATAAACTATACGCATGAATACGCAGATAACGATATTGAACATTGAATTGTGCTAATGTATATTCGAGTAGTTCCAAGTCGGCTCGAGGAATTCATTGCGCTCATGAGAGAAAAAATCGCTGAAATGAATCTGAAACGAATATGAGATGTGAATCAAGATAGAGTATTGACCAAAGATCTAGAGAAGTGGGTGATAATTGAATGATGAACAACATGCATTTTGCACAGGAATTGATCCAGATCGCCTACATAAGGTTTAGATGCAAGAAGTACCAAATATGATTTTCTTGGGGCAACCCTATAACTATAAAGGGATACGATGACTCTCACCTATATGTGATATATCCTACAAACCTTCGATCATGCGATCGGAGAGCTAAGTAGAATCAGCTGAAGCCGGATAGTGATTGTACACTAATCGGAGACCGTACTGGGAGCGAAGGTACGCGTAGCTGATTATTAGAGGATAATCGCAAAGATGCTTGGAATAGAAGACTACTAGCAAAACAAAAATAAAAACCATTCGATGGTGGAAGGAAAATAAAAACAGAATTGATACAGAACCATGCCTTTACGAATCTGTATAAGAAACAAAGCCAGAGTATATCGCAGTAGAACGTCTGCAAAACAAAACTAGCCCTTGAAATAGTGGATAATAAAGTTTTTATAATATAACTGAATCTGACTAAAGCCTGTGTTAAAAGTAAAGCCGATATCCTTAACTTGACAAACGAAAATCGACAGAACATTTTTGGGGCGTTAGTATACAAAGTTTTCATAATCCAACAATATATACAATCTATAAATATACCAAATCGAATATTTACAAATAATGAGAGAAGTAATAGGAAGTATATAAAGGCTAGGACAGTGTTTATTGAGGCTGGTGGGAGTATATATAGAGTAGGAGGAGAGACGTTTTTAGTACCTTATCTCCAAATACACAGAAGCGGCATGACGGCAGAGGAGCTCCGGTATAGAAAGGATACTTTTAGCAAGCCACACTTGACAATGCTCGATTAATATTATGGTGACAGAAGATCTCAGGTAGAGACTAATCCTATAATATACATATACAACACACTCCTAGCACTCTACTTTCGATTACAAACTATACATTAGGAAAATGGATTTTACAAGTAGAGCTTTAATTAGTGGATTGGAAATACTATAAAAGGACTACCTGGCTAGGGGTTTGAAATAACAAGCCTGCGAGATATAATCGGCCTTATTGTATAGAAGAGATTTGGTAAAATAATACGAAACAACTACTAGCTGTGAGGTATAGTATATAATAACAGCGATAGTGATACTATCTATATGATTCGAAAGAATAAATATGTATATCAATCTATAATCAAATATTATAAGACAAAGAGTATAATGGAGGTATTAGATAAACTTAAGGAACAAATAGGAATAAAAACATAAAAGAATAGTTTTGATTCTAACCGGAATTTTTGAAGATAATTATACAATAGGTAATTTAATGTAATCAAAAGATTTTATAGAAACCTAGTATTAGTAGCTTTATTACAAGTGAGCTGGGAAAGCGTTTGTAGGTGTAGTGAACCTACTTTGTATTATAATATATTCTAGAAAGTAGTTATAATATAATTCATTTCTGCTACCATTTTCAACAGTTTCGACTATACACATCTAATAAGGGCTGGAGGATATCAAGCTTATGAAGATATACAAAGGGCTAGTTTAAAAGAGATAGAGTTAAAAGAAGAGTGGTGCCTTCTATTTTCATCTCACTAGCAAGAGGACCTTTGCTATACTGGAGGCAACTCGGGAGGGGATAACTCTTGCCCCTTATAGAAGGAAGGGATAGCAAATTGGATTCCAAGTTTGAAAGAGGATTGGATATCGGGATACTTTAATAGGATTAGGGGTAGGGGAAGAAGGAAGAGGGAAAGGTCCCAGTGGATGAAGACATTATATCTCTATTTGCACTCCGAACAGAGATCGGGCAGAGCACCCCAATATTTGTTTTTACTCCCCCAAAATTGATCATATCTACTGTAGATATTCACTAGCATTGCTAAGCTTTTAGAGCCTAGCCGTCTTATATAGTCATGGACTGGAGCGGGACGTTAAACTAAATCAATCAATCAATCAATCAATCAACCTATAACTATGGAACTACCATGACGTTCAAAGATAGACAGCATATAGTAAAAGCCAACCACTATTGACCTTTGTTCTTTTCATCTGCCTATTAACTCAAGTCTAGGAAGCGAAACATCTTGACTACCCACCTCCCCAAAAAGACACACTATGCGCCTAAATTCTCTGTGATTTTCCCCTGAAATATTGTTGCTACCAGAATAGTACTGGTAGCTGATGGAGTTTGCATGGCGGATGGGTGGTATGCATACGCGATGGAAATTGTCCAACCCAGTGCATCTGCGAGTACTACGAGTACCAACATCGGTGATCAAACGATTTTTGTCAAAGACGACACTATCACTCTGGACTCTGAAAAGTATTACTCTCCATACGAGCTGAGATGTATAAAAGCAGTAAATAACAGACTCAATTGAGGTCGCCGAGTATGTACTAAGCAACATTCTTGAGAATCCATAAGCACTTACTCTCAAGACATAAGTACAAACTCTCTACCACGATAATATTTCGGTAATGTCGAAACCCTAAAATGGTAGTACAACTGAACTTAACTATTGAACTCTTACCGTAGTGGTATATTCAAAGCACTCAGCCAACTATGTATTGTAGTAAAACGCGACTCTCGAGAAGTGAACGACGAGAGTGTTGAGCACGAAAACAAGATTCAATGCTAACATATATTGCCAATTTGTGAAAAACAGATCGGTCAGCGATGAATCGTAAAACAAGTAAGCAAGAAGGATGTTCGGCATAGAATGTGTAACGCGAGTTTAAACATGCGAGAGACAACACTCGAATTCGGTTGATCATGACAGAGGTGATGATGGAAGTCAGTCAAGCATAGTAGCCAAGAGTGAGATCTACATCCGTGTATGGAATACCAAGACCCCATCGTTAGACTAGGGATGATTAATAAACTGCAAACCATACATCGTTCAATCTACAGTAGCGTGCAGACCTCATCACAAATTCATGTTCTGACAAGAAGAAATTTCGTGAAACAAAGAGTTGCTTTGGAGTTGTGGTTTGTGATACTCGCCCTGAACTTAATCATTCGTTTCGGCTAGGTGATGCTCGAGGCGATCCAGAAATGCAGTGGCATGTGATCTAATTGTCTGATTTGCTCTCAACTATTTGAAGATCTCGACTTGGCAGCTGTAATCTGTATGCTGACATTACTCGGTTTGATCAGTCGCCCTGTCTATGACACAGCGGTGAAAACTTGACCCCTTGAATATCCATTCTCCAGGCATGAAAACTTGAGATTTGGAAGTGTTGTTCATTGCAATGCTTTAGTGTTGTTATCCCATCCAATATTGAAAAGGTTATCCAGCATGATGTTCTTCCCGCTTTATTGATTCTTGCGCTCGCCACTAGCCATCAAAGTCACAAGACCTCATCTTTCATTTCCACGTCTCTTTAAACCTAATGCATCCTCAACGGAAGTGCATATCCCAACCTCCTCTTACTTGGGTATGAATTGAAGTCTGTGCGATGACATGCATTGACAAAACCATTGGTGATTCCGAATCAGGTAGCATTTACGTTGAAAATATTCAAGAATTCCTGTATGGAAATTATTACCATCTTTGACATCAAAGCTTTGGATAAAAAGTCGTGTAATCACATGAATGGTTCGATCTGGCATTCATCGTGTATTCGAAGCATTTTGTGGACTACCACATTGCTCCCGATTGGTTGTCCTATCTCTAATATCTTGTGATGATATCGCATTTCCGATAAGAAGTTCATGGGAGGGAAACTTTTCCCAACCAATCTTCCACGATTGACAGCCACGGTTTCGCGTCCAAAGATGGTATGAATTAGATGATATGCGTGGTGGTATTCGTTGACCATTTCAGGAATTTTTGTCCAGTTGATGGTGCTGATGGCGAGCTGAGAAAAATGAGCGATTCCTTTTCGCCATCGAATGTAACGTTTTACGCGCATAAATCTCGAGGAGAGTTTTGGAACTCTAAAAACGATTGCGCTCACGGAAGGTGCTCGGATTATATAGAATATTCCAAAATTGAGTGGTTCGAATTGTCGAATTGAATCTTCAACTGCTCGCGTGCTTTTTGGTCATTACCCCGCCTCCAATAAGTATCCTTCCACTAAAGAAGCTTATTAAAATACAATGATCTTGTCCAATGAATCCTGAAGGAAATTGCGTGATATTTCCAACTAAATTGAT